CGATCCGCAATCGCTGGCGGCTTTGGCTCGTATGCATCGTTTGTCTGTGATGATCTACGGCTGTCTCATATCGCCAAAAAGTCCTCTTCTTACATGAAGCTGTTTACACAGTCTACAGATGATATCGAAAACACGGAAACGCGCACATATTCGCCATGTCGTCTGGCTCCAACCTAACCTAGCGCAGCAGGGTTCCATCGCGACCTGTGTTCGCTTCAACTCGAGTCGTCGACCCTCAAAGACCGCGATAAACAAGCTTGTTAGCTGCTGTCACGGTTCCGTGAGGTCATGGTCAGTTAGTCGTATGATGAGTCCAGCCAGCCTCTCTTGCTTGCCGACCGACAGCGACGACAAAGCGGACGGACGATAAAAAGCAGACCATTAGAACGCATGTGCTGCTGTGGCGATGGCGGCATGAGGGCGATCAATTCTTTCACTCAGTTCGCGCCTCGCCACCGCTGCCTCGCCAGTCAGCGGCAGTGAGATGCTCCAAGATTAGCGACCACGGTGGTGGTGGTTGTGGCAGCCAGACGCGGTGACGACCATGACGACGTCCTCCAACCACTACCTCACTGTCTCCTATCGATTCAGTTCGGTCGGTCGGTCGATCGGTCGGTCGGTCGTTCATTCGGATGGCCGGGAACAATTTTCTTTGTGCACTGCTGCGCAGATGACAACGGCGACAACACGGACAACGACATCGCTGACAGCTTGCACAGTTAGCACCGCTTCGTAGCACTCGGCGTTTTCTCTGTCAGGATCACTCGCTTCCTTGTCTCGCCTGGCTGTTGCCCGCTTTCATTCAAACTCACCTCCTTTCAGCTGCAGCCTCAAGTTTAACTTTCAGTCACATGTACAACCTGTTTTGCAACCAAAGTAGCTAACCACCTCTTGCGAAATGGCATAAGGCAACGGTATCAATCCTTTACGGTCATGCACATCAGGAAATGTGAAACAGCGAACGAACGATGTCTACTTCACTTTGTTCTCACCTCTTTTCCCTCTCTCCTCATGTTCTCAAAATTGTTCCATTCCTGTAGCTTTGTTTACTCCCCTGTTACTACAACTAACCACGTCAACACCGACCTGTAAATTTTCGAAGCTTTGCGAAATTTCAGATTGCTGTAATTATATCACGTGCTCGCGCTTCAACGTTTTATCTTCGCACCACAATCCTAATTATAAGCGTTTTAGTTGCGGATGTTCGGGTATTTTCGGCGGATCTTGAGCTGCGACATAAGCAGAAACAGCACAGTTGGTTTCTGTATTCAAAGAATCGTTTTGCTTGGTTTTTCGCTTCAATGTCTGAGCTGAATCTTTCATGAAAACGCTTTGAGTAGATTTTGCTACGCTTCATTCATCAAATGATTTCTGAATCGTCTGTATTTTTTATGTACTGAATGTTTTTTTGTATGTGTATTTTCAACTACTGAATTTTATAACTTTTTAGTCATTCGTGACCATTAGCAAACATTTGCATATTTATTTTCCTTGATCAGAAACCGAAAACCATCGACAACACTGAAAGCAGTTTATTAACACAATAAACGTAGTGTATCGATGGATATGTAAAAATTTTTCAGATGTTTTTTGTTGCTGTGGATTCGTACTGGAATCTAGTGCTTGTTTTGTGCTGTGTTTTGAGCCGTTCATTTTCGACTTCAAGTGGTTCACCACTGAATGCAAGGAAACTGATTATTTCGAACGCTCAGCAGTTCTCGGGAATAGGGCTGAAAGCATATTTTACTACCTCCGAGTTCTTCAAACATGACGAAAGATGCCGTCGATCTGTGAATTGTTTTACATGCAACTGTCCGTCAATATCTCAACAAGGATCAAAGAAACAAGATTTTCGAATAAGGTAGACAAAATATTGACACAAACTTCGGCATTCGATATCTTCCATGACGGCCGTTCATTTTGCATTGTATTCACAAATTTTAATGTGGCAGCATTTAGTCTACAATAATTTGCATACGAAAGAAAGCTTTATAAGTATATAAGTAATATCCGCAGTTGAACACTTTATCAGGTTTCGATACCCTCCACATACAGTAAATTTCCTTACCCAATGCTCAACACTCAAATTCCTCCTGCTGCAATAAACTGTTGTACCTTCACTTTTAGCTTTAGACGGCACGCAGAATACGCATCCGTCTCTTTCTTTTTGAAACGACAGCGTCAGAAAAATAGCTGAATTATCATAATGGTTTGTTGGAACAGCAGCTTGCAAAGTGCCATTTTTTGTTTTGTCATCAACATCTCAAATAACTTTGCAAAACCTCAGCGCGCTTCACATTCTTAATGTCCGTTCATCTCAATATTTCATATTTCGATATTCTGAGTTGTGAACGGATTCGTTGAAGGAATGATTCCACATTGACAACAGATTTCAGTTTCAGGTTCTTTTGTCACATAAAATGTCCTTTACAGAACTGCTATTGGCCATGTTTCAGGTCCAATTCAAACCTCTAAATAGATAGCTATGTTTAACTGCTTCTTCGCGGATTATTGTTTCATATAAGTTAAAGAATTTAGCACCGCCCTCTTGTTCAAGCCTGATCACTGTTACCGTCATTCAAAATCATAGCACAGAAACATTTAAACTGTGGAACTTCTTCAAGGGCACTCTTTCAGTGGTCATCTTTGCTTCCATTGTTCGGTTTGGTTTCTCATCACCTCATCACATTAGGCTTAATGGAATTTCGCTTAGAAGGACGATTTCGCTGAAGTTGTGTACAACGTGCGCTTTGAATGACAAGTCGAGGTCAAAATGAGATTTATTGCTATACTGAAAATCGGAGCAGAGAACTGTAAGTGCAATATAAGCTTGTTAAGCAATAACAGCTTCAATTATTCTCAAGCTGCTTCGGTTGTGACGGATCCTTACCTGCGTTACAAACACCAAAGCCTCCTGAAGGCTACATTATTTGAGACCGAATGAACGGTTTTCTGTTATATTCGAATTCAAAATGTCTATGAGAAATTCAGTATTTCTCTGTAGCAACTCGCCGTTGGATCATGCTAAATTTGTGACTGACTTCTCAGGCATTTCGTGCAACCACAACTAGGTTACTTGTTCAGGATGCCACAGAGAAACTTGCCTGGTACATTCGTTTAAAACAGCCATACGAAGTCAGCCCAAAAGTCGATCACAAAACTGCGCGTCTGGCGACGCATCAGGACCATTAGAAAAACCTTGTGAACCAGTTGCCTCGAGATTGACCAGCTACCCAAAAATGAATGAAATGAATAAATAACCACAAAATAGAAAAATAATTGCATTTACGATCTATTATTTCATTATTTCTACGTGGCTCAAGCAATTACACAATTGCAATGTATCATTTTCCAAGTCATCTTCATGGAAAGGTGCATTAACCATATTTGAATACAGAGTCAGAATAACCTCTTACTGGATCTTTGCCTTGCGCAAGATTGTTGAAAAAACGTGGAAGCCCATCCGTTAAACATGTGCTTTGTGGAATTGCATAAAGCCTTTTACCGAATCCCGCGCAACGGTCTGTGGGCATGCCTGCGAACAATCACTATATGTTGCTAGGTGCCATCCAATCATTATATGCTGAGGACACATGTTGCGTCAGAGTAAATGGCACTAAGTCGAAATATTTCAACATTGCATATGACTCCTAAATTTTCGTTCTGTCCCTTTTCTGCTTATTTTGTACATGGATATAACAGCCAGTGTGACGAGCGTATCAGCGTGTGAACGTATCTAAAACGAAAAGCCTTGTGCTTTCCATTCTCTCTTCAGATTAACAGAGAGGCAGCGGAGCAGGTGAAGAAGTCCAAGTACCTCGGAGTCATATTTTCTGGTGATGGAAAATTTTAGGAAGAGATCGACCGGCGTACTGGAACAGTTAATGGCGTACGTGAAGTAGCCAGCAGTAGTCCGAACAGTAGTCCGAACTCTGTGACTACAGCAGTGCTGAGTCTGAAGACTAAGCTCTCTGTGTTCAAGTGGATCTTCATGCAGATATAGCCTACGACGACGTGCCATCGGTTATGGTTAAATTATACTTAAACCCTGGTATCATAGGCGAAGAGGACTGTCTCTGACAAATCACTGTTCTCACGGGTTTGGACATGACTCGGCGTTGAGATATCCGAAAGAACCTTGGTGTACAGCCGCTACACCTGAGAAGTCAAAAATGCCTTGTTTTGGACAGGTGTTGCAAATTCTTTCAAACAGGAAGGCTAAGCAGCTGTCATTTTCGCAATCGACCGGCCGAAGATCCAGGGGACGTTCAAGAATAACCTTGAATGGTGTATAGAAGGACTCTGCTCCAAAGTCGGGTTACCTGTCACTGAAGCTGAAAACGCTGGCATGGTATCAGAAAATCGAAAATGCTGCGTCGACTGGCCTGCATCTGCGACTCTTAAGAATAAGCGGCCTTGTGAAACCGGCTGACCAAGTCAAAATGGCACAACGCAAATGAATGATCACAAATAAACATGGTTTTCAATGGTTCGAATAAGTACCGAATAAAAAATTCATTGACTTACATTATATCCATAAGAGAAACGGCATGGAAACTTTCGTTTTTGCGGACAGACTAACGTTCTTCTTTTTAATAGATCTAGCCTCGAAGAGAATGTAATGTCTTTGGTGGGCGTCGCAATGAAAACGCTAATATTCTTTGCACTGTGTGGCTTCCCACCATATGAAAAGTCCAAACTTATATATTGAAGTCTTCATTTTGCCAAGTGTGTCCGGATGGCATCTGTCATTGCCATATGATGTTCAGTTTATGGCACCAGTCTGTGATATTTTGGTAATAATTAGGAAATCAGTTATCCTATCATCTCATTTTTTCTCAAAAATGATTAGCAGCGTTGATAATTAAGTTGGCTTAGTGTTGCCGACATGTCAACACAGCGCAACTGTTCTGTCAGTATTCCGATCAAGACATTTATTTAAGGTTAGCCAGGTTCATATCCGCTGTCTATAATCCAGTCCCAGCAATCATTTTGCAGAGAGAAAAAAATTTCTGAACTCACTTCAACTCAGACTCATTGATACAATGTACAGAGAACAGGCGTGCCACAACAACTGTTTAGAAGACAGAAGTTGTCGTTTGCGCT